TATAGATCTCCTTAAAATATTGATTTAAAAAAAAATTCTGTCCCAGGTATACTTGTGCACTTTCCATGCAAGGTGGTATAGCCAAAACGGTTATTGTTTTTATTTCAGACCTTTAATAAACCTTTATATCTTTTAACATCTTTATTCTTTTTGAAATGTTAGATATGAATTTGACTGATTAAAGGTGAAAATTAATACAGTCATTTAAGTAAAAGTCTCTTGAAGGTGATACTGGTTGCAAATGAATAATCCTTCCCCTATCCAGGCGGAGCATATATTAAATAGATTTTTATAACAGGGAGATAGGGGCATGCCCCATCCACTCCATGTATCAAAGTATTGCATCACCTTCAGGAATGGTGCACCAACACAGTAGATAGCAGTAATGCATCTTGATGTTGGTTGCCACCCTCAAATTACCATACAAAGATGAACAAGAAAGTCAAGCAGCGCAATGGTATATTATCCCTCTATCAGTGAACTAAAAATGTAAAAACGTTTTATTTTTTACTATTTTCATACAAATCTTTATTATTGTTTATGATCATCCAATGTATGTTGTGTCTGTAGTTCTCTTTTCTAGTTGCATGCATTTAATGTTTTGAAATCTTGAAAAAAAATTGCATTTGTCTAGTTAAAATATTTTTTGTATCAAACGAAAAACATGACTTTGTTGTTGTTCCAACACAAACTATTTCCAGTGTATTCAATCCAACGATGGCCCTGTCGCCTGCTCAGCTGCTATGTACAAAACATGACCTCATGTCATCTTTCCTGCTTTTGATTAATTTATTTGAATAGACTGTTGTTATAAAAATGCCTTGATTCTAATATATGTGCAATTATTCCTTATATTTCCCATCATTACTAATTTTGTCAGGGGGCACAACTGATAATGTTCAAGTAAATAGACACTTAGGATGAGCCTCATGCCACAATGGAGACAAGGGAGACTTTGTTTGAGTTTCTTAAAAGGTTGCCTGGAAGAGAACATAGAAGAACTGAAGAAGGTGAGGAATAATTTGAAAATTAGATTAGGTTAAATTAATTAAATTAAAGTTTCGATCAAGTGCAGGCGGTTTTTGTTGTAAGCAGTGTGAGTCAGTGTTACTTTACAAGTTGACTCTAAGTATGTTTTCTTTATTTACATTAGACATTTCTCATATTCCTTTTCTGGTTTTTATTATTATAGTTACAAGTAAAATATTTCAAATTTACAATTGATAGATTTTTTCTGATCATAAAGCTGTGACTTATCATAGATTATTGGATTGATGTCAGCATGAAGAATAATAAATTGAAGAGATTATGAATATAATCTTTGTCCCAATGGGTTAAAAAGGTAACCAATTAAAATATAAATTATTAATTATTGATTTATATTATTATATTGATTTACATTTATAGGAATAATCCCTTCACTTGTTAATGGCAGTAAAGATTTAGACACAGACAACTACTGAGTAAATTATAAAAATGACTTAATCATGCCACCAAAGACATATTGGTTTATAAGTTAGTCTAAGTAATTTATTTACATTGGTCTAAAAAAACACAACAAAAAGCACAACATTGCACTTGCTCCAGTCTGCCGACATATATCCACCAAGTTTGAAGTCAATCGCATGAGCAGTTTTTAAGAACATGGAAGGACAGACTGACAGGACCACTGTCACACACTAAAAGCATTTGTGGTGGCGCTCTGATGTAAATAGGTGAGTTCAGCAGGATGCATGTGATTGTCTTTGGCGGTTTCTCAGCTCACCCAGGTTTTTTTCTTTTCTTGGAGAGTTTTGTGTCGCAGCTGATGTCTGAGGTGCTGATCCTGAAACAACAGGACTGGTAGATGACATCTCTGTTCATGGTGCTGATACTGTGCTGCAGCTGAGCTCTGTGGAGCATCCATGAGGCTACATCCTAAAAACGAGGAGCTGATGTACATGTTGCTTCAATGCCTGACAGTGGACGTGCCTGACGTGCCTGTGTTCTGCTCAGAACACACAACATAGCCAGTATTCATGCTAATTGTGCCATGCTAGCTGTCCTTGAAATGCTACAGGGAAGTACACTGGATCCACAGCCAGATGAACACACCCCCAGGTTCACAGCTGCCTCCTCTCTCCAGGCTCACTTTGATGGAGTTAGGGTTAGATGTTAGATGTCAGGACTGGATGCATAAACATGATTTCACTGGCTAGCACCTGCAGTTGTTTTAACATAATTTCATTGGCTGCTGCCTGTGCTGCTGCGGATGCCTACTTCACTTTATCCTCATGTTTGACAAGATGGTGGGGATGTCTCTGAACTATACAAATCAAAACACAAGACGGGAGACTCAGAGTGATAAAAGTGTTTTTGCTAGTCAAACTCCTCTGGAGCCACTAACATTTTCGTAACCTTCCTCTTCTTATATGGATCAAGTGTGGTTAGAGTGCAGACATATCAATGGATGCAACACATTGAACACAGTGGCCCTAAGAGTCAAAACACATTTCACAAAACACAAGTAGTGTTATATGGCATTTTGTGAAAATGTGGGTTTTGATGGCCACATTATGTTAAAGTTGCTTAGTATAAACTCTGTGTGTAAGGCTGGAAAGCTAGAATGGTATACTCACTGAAAAAAATGAACTTGAGGGTTTTTTGTTAATTGCATATGCCATAACGTAAAATTAGTCTTAATATGAATGAATCATGTCACAGTAGAGAGGCCAGCGGTGTCACTATATAAACTCCTATAGCTCTAACGTAGTGAACTGCCAGCCTCATCTTGGTTTCATAGACGTTGCTTCACGTTCAGCTGTCGGCTGCTCTCGGTTTCCTCTCGTGCCTCATCGGTATTCCTAGGCAACCCTCGGCGCGCGCCCCAGTCCAGCGGCAGCGGTGGCACGCGCATCTCCACAGAGAGAGAAGAAAGCATCCGCAGAGCTCGAGACGCTCGAGAGCGACCCTGGAATCACGCCATGAGCTCGCATAGCGTGTAATGTCGGTGATGTTTTTGGTAGGAACCTGCCGTCGGCTGCTGTGACGTTGCGTGAGGAGCATTACCAGCACCATGAAGCTGCTGTTTGTGGTGACACTCTTATGGCGCGAGGCGTTGTGCGGATCTCCGAGCGTCCAGATCGGTAGGATTCTCATTTGTGCCATCGCGTCACCGTTGTCATCTGCACCGTTTGTCCCGCTTGCTGTTTCCTCTGCTCTCATTCATCGCACCCATGTCTCCCCCATCCATCAATGTGGGCCTCTCTCATCTCGCCCGTCTTTCCACCACCGTCAATGAGGAGAGGCCTCATCTCACCACGGATTGCTCCAATTCTGTCAACATTCTAATTTTATATATGTAGGCTGGTATTATATGCGCGTGCACTGCAGTGTGTGGTTTGTGTGCGCGGCATACGCGTGTTCAAGGTGTTAACTGGCACAAAGATAAAGCCAGGTACATGGTAGATGATTAAAATTCAGCACTTGAGACATGTTTCCTTGTTGGACCTTCAAACACAGGTATGTATGACGACCCCTACAGGACTGGATTTTCAGCTGCATTCCATTACAGCTGAAAATGGAATGGAGCTGTAATGGAATATATATATACATGCAATTAGACACAAATTGTGTGTATGGCTCTTCTATTGTTAGTTGTTTCTATTGTTTACGCAGTGGTTGAATAATGTACTCATCATAACAAAGATTCTGTCACAGTCAACAATTTCTCTTAGAAAGACTCAGACCAGCATTGCTTGGATAACAGACATTTTCCAGAGCAATTCCGAACACCGAACGTACTCCTAGAATAGAAATAACGTGATTTCCATACTCATAACTACAGAGTTCAACACAACAAGAAGACTAATGACTTTACTTTTTACTTTACCTGCAAACAAAAACTAACAAACTTACCTGAGACTCCCTCTGCCTGAATGACCCTGCCTGTCAATGGACAGCTCCTCTCTCTGAGTTGCCTTTGCCTGATGACACAGTTGTGAAACATTTCCATAAATACTTCATTACTTTCTTATATCAGCTTGCATTTGATATATCTGGGTCCTTATACTTGTCGTTTTGGTGCAGTGAAAAAAAATGTGATACCTCTTCTTTGCAGGTTATTTTTAGGAGTACATAAACCATGCTAAATTAAATAATATTCCTAATTAGATTTAGTTTTCCTGAAGAAGTACATCTCTAATATCTTGCTGTCAATGTGTACAAGTCCACAACATTATGAGGCCTACCATACACAAACATATATAACAGCATTTGTTGGAGTTTTTTCTTCTTTCAATAAATTAAGACTTGAAAATGATAAAGAAATTGCACCATAGTAGTCACTTTTCATGCAATAAGAAAAAATAATGCACTGAGAACCTAATTGTTTTGGGTGAGTTTATCTTAAATATTAGAGAACTGTTGCTACTTTATCATCTACAACAGATCACATTTGTTTTTATGAAATCATTTTTATCGTAACCAAGCATTCTGTAACATATATACACATCTGACATTTGTAACAAACCAAACGGCCTGAAAATCGGATGATAATTCACTGTCATTAATATTTTAATTGTTGATAGAACTCCTGCCTTACATGTGCATTAGAAGATGCAGGTGCATGTAGAGTCAAGATTCAACTGGGAGTTAAAACAAACAATATGCTGTCTGGTTAAATATAAATGCTTTTTTTTCTATTGAGTAGTAAAATCAAGGCAACATGTCTGACTTACCTCTGACAACAACTGTTGCAGAGCTGCGACTCACAGGAAGTCAGTCTAAACTGGAGCGCATCGCTCTGAGCGAGAGAGAGATAGTGTGAGTGTTTGAGAGGGTGGGGGGGTGAGCAGTGTACAAAACCACTGTGAGGCATGGAGAGGGGGGTGCAATATGTCAAAGCTTAAGAATGTTTTATTTTGCATCTATAATTAGCGGACATGTGTTCAGTGCATATTGTATTACTATTAAAATGTATGCAGACAATATCAAGGCTTATAATTGCAATGATATTGAGGGGGACGACTCTCTGGATGGGGGTGGGGGGGTATGGGGCCCCTGTGTATATAGTAAGTTAGTTTGTACATGTGTACAAAAATCTGTGAAGAGTGACCGCTGCGCCAAACATTTAGTTGGTGTGACTGTATTTGATCTAGTTGTGTCGCTTCCTCATCCCATTTACTCTGTGGACTTTATACCCACTCAGTCACTGACACACGTGAAGCGGAGAGGAGGGAGAGGAGGAGTTGAACCAAGCAATGTATGTCGAACAGTAGAAACAAAAAGTGTGAATACAGTGTTCCCACTGTGGACAAATGTTGAAAAACGATTAGGATCAGAGCAGAAGGAGTGGTTGATTTGTACTGTCTTTGGCTGAGTGTCCTACCTCCTACTTTAACTATAATCCCCAACACCAATCAAGTTATTAGGACCTGAACAGTACTCATGTTCATTTTGTGTTAGTTTGTTTGTTTGGCTGGAGAGTTTATGAGGCTCGTATTTAAACACATTGAAAATGTGATGAGCAGACACACACACACACACACACTCGAAACGCTGTAATGCTAACCAAATACAATACAAAGCTAAAAGGTCATCTAGTTCACTGTTCATTGAGCTGGCAACATATATCAAATGTTTAATATTTATTTAAGAGTGATTTTGTTGACAGAGCAAGATAGTCCATTTTATTTATTGTTTTGATTGTCTGTGGTTTAGTTTTTATTTATTAAGGATTTTTAACCTTTTTAAATTCTCATTCAAATGTCAGACTGAATACTCTTAAAAATTAAGTTCATCACTCATTGAAAGTGTGTACTTGCATAATTATGCTACGATATTATCATTGCACCAGTGGTTTCAAATTGTTTCACAATGATGACAATATTCATCGCAATATTCTTCGGACAAAATATCATCCAACAAAATATCTTATTGTGAAGTGCCTACCTCAATATTTTAAATAGTTAGAGGTTTCCTTAACAGTTTACAGCTTTCACTCTCTGGCAAAAACTAGGGAGTTGGCACTATTTGTTATAGAGAGATTTTATAGTAGTGTGTGAGTGTCTGAGATTTCTGTGTGTGCGTGTGTTGGGGAGCAACAAGGGGGAGTGGTTAAAACTGGAAATAAAAATAGTGAGAAAATTACAACTGAAGACAGAGAGAGAGAAAGTTGCCTTGTCCTTCATGGGGGTGGGAAACTGCTCCTACCACCACCCTCTCAGCACTCCCTCCCACTCCACTTGAAGAATTTAAGGATGCCTGATCTCATCAACTGTGCCTAAGCCCTGGGGAGGGAGCCACAAGATGGAGATTAGAACCCCGAACTCCTTCACGGAACCTTGCAGCCTTCAGGCTGGGGAGAAACCCTTTTCCTTATCCTTTCTTTTTCATTGGAGAGGGGAGGTGGGATTGGGTGGGAGTGCTGTTGCTGGGGGCAACAACAACAAAAACAGTAAAAACAAGACCAATCAGTAAATAAATGAGTGAGTTAATTCATTAATAATCAATAGAAATGAATAAAGAAAGTTGTATGAGCAGGTGTATCAAGATGTCAACGGCTGTCAGAAGCTGCAATGTCAGGGATTTTATCCATCTTGAGTAACAACCCTAACTTTTACTGCAGGTGTCATCATTCCATCACAACTAGACAAATCTGAACAGGCACATGCAGTTGGAAGACAACAGAATAGGTGTTTTGATTTACATGTATAGTGGTGGTTGTAAAATGCAAAGTGAAAAAAAGTTTTGTGACATTAGTTCATTATTAAGAGGTCAACAGAATGCTCCTGCAGTATCATGACTTTCCACCAGGGTTTTAGAATAAGCTTTTAACAAATGAATGTAACGTTTTCTACTTAATTAAATATTCAATGCTAGCTAACATACCATACATAACTACTGATTAGGTAATGACAACATAAATGTAACCTGTAACTGCTACTGATGTTACAATGATCAGGGTAATTAAAGCAGTATCACAGAGGCAACTACAGAGGTAAACTGGCATCGCTTTCTTTTGATATCATGGTATTTTTTGTCAGAGGCCATACAAAAATTCACTTTATGACATAAGAAAAGCTTCTGGAAAGCTTGACAAAATCAACAATGCACATTCTAAACAGCACTTTTAAAACTCCTACCTTCTTTTAATGGTGGATCACACCTGCAGGTTCTAAATAGTTTCAATTTGAAAATGAAACTTAATAGTTAATATAAATGTTCATTATAAATGACATTATTACTCAGACTGCACCAAATGAATTCATAATTTTGGAATCCAACTGTCAGAGTACCATAATACTCATAATACATCATAGCTGTCTCTGTATTCCTTCACTACTCTGTCTGTCTCTTCACAGAATGTGTATTAATTCCAGCCCAACAGAACTGGCAAATGAAACTGGGATAACTGGCAGCAGACAGCAAGCATGCAACCAAGTCTTTCTTAGAGTCCTGTTGATTTAATCAAAAAAACAAATATTACATATCGATATGTAGACATTCAGACACATATCGTAAGAGTAGTGATTAAATGGTGTGAAACTTTTGTATCATGATTATAATGACCAAACTTATATTGCAAGTGTGATGCTCCTATTGTTACTGCACAGATGTTTCTTTGGACACACAGGGCAGCTGAGAAAAGCACGAGGGCTGCACTGTCTTTAAAGATACATGTGTGCACACCTGTCTACAGAGCATTCAAAGGGTCACACTGGGAAATCTTCTTCCTAATAAATGTTGTATTACCTCACATACAGTTTACTTTCTCTCTCATCTATAGACACTGGTCTAAATTATGTAGTAGACTATTAGTTGTGACTCGAACCACAACTGTGACTGTTCAGACACAGTCTATCATTACAGTTTGTCAAGTAGCTATCTACATGTTGTTTGGGTTTAACTGGTGACTAAATAGACTGATTGATTATGACTGTATGGTATGATACTGTCTCTGTAACTGTGGCTGTAGTCAATCAATCAATCACATTTTATTTGTATAGCCCATATTCACAAATCACAATTTGTCTCATAGGGCTTTAACAAGGTGTGACATCCTCTGCTCTTTACCCTCAACAAGAGTAAGGGAAAACTACCAAAAAACCTTAACAGGGGAAATAAATTACGTAGAAACCTCAGT